CAATTGAAGAAGAACTGACGTCTCAGCCGGAGCCCTTCCCTCACCCTAGTTGCACAGGGGGCTGGGCTTCCGCTGAATACTAATTAATCAGCTTTAGAATCTTCCTGAAAAAGCACTCCGCGCATGCACGAAGAGCCCATATGTGTGAATGCACAGATGACCGCTCAAAGAACTACAGTTACAAGTAGGAAACCTGTCTTTCCCTGAGCTTTGCTCCATTGATAGAATGAATTGATATCCATTGATACCCATTCCCAGGGCAGTACTTTTGCAGATACGGATGGGAACATGCTACAGATCCCCATGACTACACATTGCCACCAGCTCCAACCAAACCTATGTATTATTGGTCCCCTGCAAAACCACTCCAGTGTCCCAAACCAAGACAGGCATCTACATTCAACAACAATCTGAGAATGTCCAAAGATCATTCTCCATCAGCTAGGCCAGAACCAGCAGATCTGATGGACTATGCTTCTGACTTCAACATGGCAAGACTCCTCAGAACCTATCTCCAGATAATTCCATATCTTCCCAAGGCCCAGGATTCCTAGGGGAAAGCCTTGGTCACTTCTCTGAGAATGGAGGACTTGGTTCCAGTAGTGAAACCATTCATATTGACACTGGCCAGAGTGATGAAGGAACCGTGGGAGCTTCCCAACCAGCCACATCCCACCTCCTGCCAATTGAAAGGGATGTACCAGGTGCAGGAGAGAGACATTACCTACCTTCTGCACCGTCTGCACCTGAATACCATCATTGTCAAATCCATACAAGGAAGGCCATGCGGGGAGCACTCCTCACCAACCAACAGAGAGGGTCGCTGCTTGGATGTGATGGCTCGCCAGATATACACCATGATGGGCCTGGGCCTATACATCTCAAATTATGAAGCCATGATGGGGAGGTACCAGGTCTTCTTGTGGCAGAAGATGGACACTTTGGCGGCTTTTCTTTCAGATCAACAAAAAGAACTAGTCAGACTCTTCTTTGCTGAAGCCATCCAGCTCTCAAAGCAACAGGTTGCAACAGCATGCCATTATGTCGACTGTGATTCAATTGGTCAGTGCAGTCACAATTCAATGACATGCATTAGGTGGCTAACCTCCTTCTAGAGATTCTTTCCCAGATTGAGAACATGCCATTTGATGGAGAAGGCCTCTTTCATGCCCACACAGATGAAAGGTCTGGCTCTCTGCAGAAGGCTAGAGCAATGGCTTGAAGCATAGGCATCGGCCTTTTTCAACCAAGGGCACATAAATGGCTGTAGACCAAATCCTCCCAGTATCAGTTCTTCCACTCCAGACAACAGGGGCCCTATCCCGGCCATCTTCAATATGGTTAGCTTCAATAAAAACAGCAACGCTGTCAGGATGCTGCCTGACCCCAGCAAGGCAGGCAACAGTTCGATGGCAACAAAAGACAGCACTGACAGGCAGTACAAACCAGTCCCTCAACCAACATATCACCCTCATTTGGGTACCGCCAAAGCCACCATCTTCCCACCTGGGAATCCATCACATCTGACCAGTGGGTACTTTCCATAGTACAGTATGGATGCAAAATTGAATTTGGAAACGTCAGTCCTCTAGGATTGATCTGCATCACTCCCCCCTCTCCAACCTACAGTAGTCCAATGTGAAGTTACCAGTTTACTAGCAAAGAGTGTGATCCAACCAGTAGACTAATCCAAAGCTAATCATGATTTATATTTGCACTATTTCACCATCCTGAAAAAAGATAGGGGAAGCTTTCTCCATGGAAGAAAACCCCCACACCACCATGCTGTCTCCCCCCTGCCAGTCAGATGCAGCCTGCATTGGTGGTCCACACTGGACAACCTCACCAACAGGATCCACTTCATTTTTTCTGAGTCCACAGTCAAGATGCCTCCAACAAAGGCTGGGGCACATATTGTGGTGACATGCACACACGAGGCCTATGAGACCACTGCGAGGGACAGCTGCATATCAACCTTCTAGAGATGCTGGCTGTGCCCAAGACTCTGGTGGCAGAGGCCGCCATGTTCAAATAGTGAAAGACAACACCACTGTCATGTACTACCTAAATAAACATGGCAGTACACTGTCCACACAACTCACCAACCTGATGTCCACTATCTGGGATGGGTCACAACTCAGGACGTCACCATCATGGCCATTCATGTGGTGGGCAGGATCAATACCCTGGCTGACACCCTCAGCCGCACTGTCTCAGCACCTCACAAATTGCAGCTTGACAGCCTAGTCCTCAGAGACCTCCATGACAGGTGGGGCCCACTGAAGATACACCAGTTCACTACACCTCAGAACTCCAAGTTCTGCCATTTCTGTTCCAGGGCAGGGTTGGGGACCAATGCTCTGGGAGACTTGTTCCTCCTCAAATGGGAAGGGATGCTATTGTATGTTCCCCCCAACTCTCTCTGATCACCAAGGTGATCTCCAAAATCCAGAGGGGCAGAACAGACTGTGTCCTTGTCAGCTCCTGGTGACTGAGGCAACCACGGATCCTGCTTCTCCTCCAGCTCTCCTCCGACTTCTTTCCTGCATTATTGAGAATACTGTTTTGGGGCACCACTAGAGCTCTTCTCTCAGTTATGGTGCAGAAACATTCATCTACTGTTGCCTCCAGTTTATTGGCTCCCTCCCTGGTAAGGTTCAGTTTAAAGTCCTCCTTAGGGAATTTATCAGGATGTGGCCTAACATATTGTTTTGAAAACTTTGGAAGTGCAACATGTCCATTCATATTTGTTGTTGTTTAGTTGCAAAATTTTGCCCAACACTGTGTGACTTACTGGACCACAGCATGCCAGGCTCTCCTGTCCTCCACTATCCCCTGGAGTCCACCCAACCCCATGCCCAGTGCACTAGTGACTCCATCCAGCCACTTCAACCTCTGCCATCCCCTTCTCTTTTTGCCTTCATTCCCAGCATCAGGGTCTTGTCCAGTGAGTTCTTCCTACTCATTACGTGGCCAAAGAATTTGAGCTTCAACTTCAGTATCTGTTCTTCTAGAGAACAGTCAGGGTTGAGTTCCTTTAGGATTGTCTGATTTGATCTCTTTGCAGTCCAAAGGTCTCTCAGGAGTCTTCTTCAACACCACAATTCAAAAGCACCATTTTTTTGGCATTCAGCCTTCCTTATGGTCCAACTCTCACAGCCATACATTGCAACTGGGAAAACCATAGCTTTGACTATATGAACTTTTGTCAGCAGGGTGATGTCTCTGCTTTTTAGTATGCTGTCTAGATTTCCCATAGCTTTCCTCCCAAGGAGCAAGTGTCTTTTAATTTCTTGGCTGCAGTCCCCATCTGTGGTGATCTTGGAGCCCAAGAAAATAAAATCTGTCACTGCCTCCATTTCTTCCCCATCTATTTGCCAGGAAGTGGTAGGATTGGATGCCATAATCTTAGTTTTCTTAATGTTGAGTTTCAAGCCAACTTTTGCGCCCTCTTCATTCACCCTCACCAAGAGACTCCTTAGTTCCTCTTCACTTTCTGCCATTAGAGTGGTATTGTCTGCATATCTGAGGTTGTTGATATTTCTCCCAGCAATTTTAATTCTGACTTGTGATTCATCCAGCCCAGCATTTCTTTCACACGATGTACTCTGCATGCAAGTTAAACAGGGAGACTATACCGCCTCGCTGTGCTCTTTTCCCAATTTTGAATCAATCAGTTGTTCCATGGTTTCTTGGGGACAAGTAAGGTAGTCTGGTACTCCCATCTCTTTAAGAGTTTGCCACAATTTGTTGTGATCTACACAATCAAAGGCTTTAGCATAGTCAATGAAGCAGAAGTAGATGGTTTTCTGGAACTCCCTTGCTTGGAACTGACCCTTTCCAATTCTGTGGCCACTGTTGAGTTTTCCAAATTTCCTGGCATATTGAATGTAGCACTTTTACTGCAAAGTCTTTTAGGATTTTGAGTAGCTCAGCTGGAATACTGCCACCTGCACTAGCTTTATTGTTGCTTAGGCTTCCTAAGGTCCATTTGACTTCACACTACAGGATGGGGCTCATCTTCCGGCATCAGTCCATCCATATGGCTGTATCCAAACTGAATCATACTCAGAGTTGAATCACTGAGCTGGTATATATGGCACAGTCTTCTCTCCTTGGTTTAATTAAACCATGATGAGGCACAAAAGATGGAAGGTGACATTTTGAATATGCTTGCTTGGGTAGGGTTGTCATATCATACTGAACCCAAATATCAGGGATTATGTGAGGGTGAAATAACCCTCACATAACCCTTCAACAAACCAAGGGGTATACAAAAAGTGTTTTACACTCAAGTAACTTTCTGGAGGTTGCATATTCAGAATTACTTCAAAAGATGCCATGTGATCTAGGTCATTGAAATAGAAACATACAGAGTGAGCTGGAAGGGGCTTCCTGGGCCATCTAGTCCAACCCCTGTCTGTAGCCAGCTCCACTAACGACATGCCTAGCATGTGCAGGTCATATAAAATAAAAGAGTCTTAATAAAATAATGGATTTCAGTGAGTCTGTCCTGATTCTTGATATAATTCACTATTCTTTGGCTACAACAATTAATCAATTTGAGCAACTTAAAAATACATCTGATTAGGTTTATTTAATTAACACGAATACTTAGCATGTGTCACATGCATTTTTTATATCAAGAGGCATTCCCAATTGCGTTAGAGAAAAATGGTAATGTGTAGTGTGTGTTAGGTAAATAGAGGAAAAAGAGATAATGATTAGAATACAGAGTGCTGTGTGTGAGGAAAGAGAAAAAGTTGGGCAGCTGGGTGGGGTGTTAATGTGAGATGGGTAGAAAATGTGCACAACAGGATTCAGTGACAACACACTAAATTGTAACACAAATGCCTTCCCAATGCTGCAGCAATGCAGTCCTGTTGAGGAGCCACAAAACACGTAAAAGAAGCCTTGGAGAGAATGAATTGTACACCCCTCCATTATGCATGATGTATGCTAGATATGTATGATCTTTTTATTCTCTCTCTTTTTAACAGGGAAAAGCTTTGCATGGTGGATGATGACTCACGCTCTTCCGCTGGAACTTTGCCAGGCCCTGGGACTTCTCTTCCATCCTCCTCTGGTCCAGGTCTGACATCCCCACCCTACACAGCCACTCCAGTTGACCACGATTACGTCAAATGTAAAAAAAACCGTCAACAGGCAACACCGGATGGTACAGTCCCTGTTCTCAATACTGCCAGCACACAGAGGTGCTGTAATCATGGGGGTTTCATTTGGGCCGATCAATTTGCTTGCTTCACGGAGGGTGATGGGTCTGTGGTAACACGGGCAATATTGCAACTCATCAGAGCCTCATAAAAGTTGCTACCTCCCATCCAGTGTTAATGGGCAAAAGGATTGGATGATCCATACACAAGGATATATCAATTATTTTTCAGTGGATTCGGACTGCTTGCATAATCCTCATGCTTAACAAATTGTCCTACTGGTTTTGGAGTCAGAACAATCTCTGACACAACTGTAAAATACAGACTCTGCCATTCAGAAGGAGGCAGGTGGCAACAATGTGAGTGTCATGTTCATAGTAGGAACTGGAATGGCGTCAGTTGACTTATCTTCTCATTTTATTTATTTCCTAACTCCTACCCCATATTTCTAATAACTGACTAGTTCATCTCCATAGTTAATAGGCATTTTAACTTAGTAGCTGGTGTAGGAATTGCAAGATGCTGCCAAGTTGACCACAGCCATAGTAATTAACCATGTGTCTGGATATGTGATGGAAAGCTGCTGTTCTGAACATCCTGTTCAAAGGGTAGAATGTTTGCACGATAAGTCTGCCGCAAATGCACGCGTGTGAGTGTTTATTCCTTTTGTGCTGATATGTTTATCGGTAATTTGTATTCCAGCATTGGAATACAGTGTAAAAGTATTGAGCATGATTTGATTGAATTCTGAATGTTTCCATCCGCATAGGCTCCCAATTCATTGCAGGGATGGGGATCTTGATCCTGTAGACCTCCATTGCATTCAGGAGGTTGTAGCTCTAGTCCTAGCATCTTTAATTTTATTACAAGGGGTGGTAGCAAAGCTCTTTCTTCACCTAAGACTTTAGAGAACTGCTCACTTGCCAGTCAGGTGATACCATCTTGGTTTTGCAGGATAAATACTCTGACCTAGTGTGTTTTGTGACTTAAGCATAGTCAGAACAAATATTGTGGGTAGTGCTGTAGCAGTTATTTAGAAGGAAGATTTGGTTTCGTGTGTCAAAATCAAAAGGGCAGCTTTAAAGATCTTCTATCACAATTAGAATTAGCAGTTCTTGGGGTTTCTATCCTGGCTCCATATCACTGCTGCCATGGCAATGAAAATTGTCACATTTTCTTGTTTGTTCGTCCGTTCATTCATTCATTTCTATACTGCCCCTCAGCCAAAGCATTCTCAGCAGTTTACAGCAATCCATAAAAACAGATACTAAATGCAATAAAAGCATAATAAAATCAGAAAAAAACATTAAAAAGTTTTCAACTGCTAAAACAGACAGCAACAAAGAATGAGTCTGCAGAACACCAGAGGTGGGTGATCCCCCTCAAACTCCTGTGTGGACAAGTAAGACTTTAAAGGCCTCAGAGAAGAGGCTTGTCTTAACCTGGTTGAAAAGATGACCAATTTGGCACTAGCCCTTGCACAGTGGGGAGGTTGTTCCATAAATGAGGGATCACCACAGAGTATGTTCCCCCTCTTGTTGCCATCCTCCATGCTTCCCTTGGACTTGGCACTCAGAGGAGGACCCCGGAGGTTGAGTGTAGTGTCAGAATAGACAACACATTTCCTCAACTCAACATTGGTAAAAGCTTTCTTATTGTCATCCTGAGCATTCACCTTAATCAAGATGCCTACCAAACTCAACACCTGCCCAACCATCATGGCCCCCAAATAGAAGGACTGCTTGGACTCTGACTGCAACAGTGGTGGTGGTCTCCACCTCTGTGTTTTGTCTACACGTTCCATGCATTGGATGCCCCATGCAAGACCCCCTCATCTGTCAGGAACAATCTCCACTAGCAGACCAACCCATGCAACTAGGCTGCAGTTCTCATGAGCACTGACTGTGTAGCTCTGAGTGGTAGGACCAGAGGCTGCAGAAAAGTGTTCTGAATGGTTCACAACATGCTGACAGCTTGGACCAATACCCTGGGGATGTCCTGTGTCCATTACTCACATTGGGCATGATGCAGGTTCCTTACAGACTGAACCTGCAAGTTGTTTCTGCACTGCCAAGTGTAACCACACATGTATCCTGGATTTTAGGAAAGCCAGTTTTGATCAGCTAAAAACACTGATAAGCGAGGTCCCATAGCAAGCAAATTTAATGAGAAAAGGAGCCAAGGAAAGGTGGGAATTTATAAAAAAAGGGCATTATAAAGGCGTAATTACAAACAATTCTAACAAGAAAAAAGGTGAAGGATGGCAGAAGAAACATCGAAACATAGAGAGCGAGTCAGAAGGGGCCTCCCAGGCCATCTAGTCTGACCTCCGGCACCAGCCAGCTCCGCTCACAACATGCCCACCATGTGCACGTCAATTTGGCTTCACAAAAAGCTTATAGGTGACAAGAAAAGCAGAAAGGACACATATTAGAAGTGAAAGGGAGCCAGAATACAAAGGAAGAGTGCAGACAGATACCATTTCTACAATTGCATGCTATCAGGAAAGCTAAAGCTGAGAATGACCTGAAGTTAGTGAGAGATGTTTCAGGGTTAGGGTACATACCCTGTAAAAGACTGAAGAAAGACATGGTGCTTCAGCTAGTCAATGAACATAGCAAAATGATGACAAAAGGCAAAAGTGCTCAATTCCTACTTTGACTTGGTCTTTTCCTGAAAGAAGATCTATGCCCTCCCTTCAGGGGAGGTACAAGCTGAAGTAACAGGATGGCAGCTTGAGACTGAAAAGCAAATAGACCTTATTACTTTGAACAAACTCAGCTCTCCAGGGCCCAGTGAACTCCATCCATTCTAGAGTGATAAAGGAACTGGCAAAAGAATTTGCAGAACCACTGACTATTATATTTTAAAAAATAATGGAGGATGGATGAAACGCCAGATGGTGGAGGAAGGCCTAAGGAGCAAAAATGAGGAACCCAGGAACTACAGACCAGTCAATTTGACATAAATCCCTGGAACAGATTATGAAATTGGCAGTCTGTAAACACTTGAAAACACTGCAGTGATTACTAGAAATTAACATGGATTTCTCAAGAACAAATCCTGCCAGACTAATCTGATCTTATTTTTTGATCAGTTGAACTCCCTGCTGGACTGTGGGAATGCTGTGGACATAATCTATCTTGACTTTAGCAAAGCTTTTCACAAAGTGACCCATGATATCCTGATTAGCAAACCATCTCACAGTGGGTTAGATGGAACAACGATCAGGGGGATCCATCAGTTGGCCACAAGATCGAACTCACCTTTGCAGACTGGGGAGATGTAACAAGTGGGGTTCAGTCCTGGGCCCAGTGCTCTTCAACATTTTTAGCAACGATTTGGATGAGGAGGTGCACTAAATGCCTATCAGTTTTGTAGATTACATAATTTGGGTGGAATAGTTAATAACAGAAACAAAACTCAAAGTCATCTTGAGAGATTGGAGTGTTAGACTGAAAACAACAGAATGAAATTTAACAGGGACAAAGGCCAAGTTCTTTACCTAGGAAAAAGAAAATTATCATTACAAGATGGGGTATACTACACTCAACAATACTACAAGCAAGAATGATCTTAGTTTTAGGTCAGCAAGCTAAGTCAATAATATGATGTGGCTACAAACTAGGCTAATGCTATTTTGGGCTGCATTAATAGAGGTGTCAGTTCTTAGTCGTGGCCTCTGTGCATCACACATATGGGTGCTGCACCTGCGCAGTTCCTAAGGCCGGAAAGATTAGAAAGGTAACTTTTTGGTGGGAAAACTCCGCTCCCCTCCCCCTCAGTACTATATATAGAGCAGAGTGTCCGCCATTTTACTCAGTCTTTTGCGACCGCCGTTCACTGTGCCTCGTGCCTGTTCGATTCTCGCTTTGACTATCACACTTGTTTTTACTGTTCTTCTTGTTCTTATTCTTCTAGTTCTACTGTTGATTGTTTTTACTCCAAGTTTTTTCTCCCTTGTTATATTACCTTTTTCTTGTTCTTCGCTTTAAAAAAATAATAATCTTATCTCTCTTTACTGTCTCCTATTTCTTTCTTTTTCTACGATGGCGCAGTGAGCGGCTTTCCGCAAATGCGCAGAATGTGGGTCCAAAATGTCCCCAGTGGACTCACATGATTTGTTCCTCCTCTGCCTTAGCGAGGGGCATAGAACAGACAAATGTCGCCACTGTCTGGCATTTACGAAGCAGACCCGTAAGAACAGGGAGAACTGCCTGCGTAAACTTTTTTGGGACCAGGCCTTGATGCAGTCGGACCAACTGGCTGCAAAATCCAGCCCTGCTTTGGCCGCGCCTGCTCAACAGCCAGCCTCTGTCTTGGCCGTCCCTGTGCAGCGCCCGGCTTCTGCTTAGGCCACGCCTGGCCAACACCCTGTCACCGCACCAGCTATGCCTCAGCCGCGCCCATCAGATGATTGAACCCCGGCATCAGAAGCCCAACGACTTCCTTCTCCCCCACGAAAACAACGGGAGAAGAGAAAGCACGGCGGCTCAGATCAGTCCTCTAGCCATAAGAAGGCTAAGAAGGACAAGGCAGACAAACCGGCTCATAAGCTGAAAAAGCACCGCAACTCGGGCTCGTCAGCCACATCGATACCGACGGCCGCATCGGTACCAACACCATCGGTACTGATGCTCCAATCAGCGATGCAGGTCACCCCGCCGGGATCCCCTGGACGGGTTGCACTCCAGGAAGGCCAGTCTCCTGAATGACCCTAGGAGCCATTGCACGAGTCCATCTCGGACAGAGAAATACAAGATTCTCCTCCTATGGCTCACTCGCCTACGCCTATGCCGCCGTCTAGGCTAAGGGTTGAATCTCCCGCCTCTCCACTGCAGTACCTAAGTTGCCGAACGACGTAGTGAGGAATGGAACCAACCCTACTACGAAACCTACCCATCGGGTTGGGGGGACTACCATTCCTTTGACTTCTACCCGCAACCATGGGACCGTGCCTCATCTTTGGTCCATGGAGAAGCCCCATCTACATCGAGACGCCTGG